TGACCAACAGCGGTACAGCTGGAATGAAACCTTAATGTACAACACACTCGCAAAAGCTCCATCAAACTGAGTCAACAATGTTGAGTCAACAAAACTTATCACTCCTCCATCTGCACCTCTACGAAGGTCACAGAAATGACAATAAGCAAATAAACAGGAGAGAAATACAGATAGAGGCAGAGAAAGAAACAAGGAGCAACAAAATGATCACTGGATCATAGGTTGCATCAGTGGGTCATTGCATCAGATCTCTGGTTAGAAAAATACCAAATAAGTACAGTGTAGAGTTTACACTTAATGACGATGTGCTAAAAATGGGTAATGCAATGTTTTATTAGAAATAAGGAACTATAAAACTCACTCACTCCCAGAGCCGTTGGACCAAACATCGCAATGGTAAGAATTCTTCAAATCTACATAATTGTAAATATACGTAAAGATACATAATGTGTACTAGATAATGTGTACAAATATATATTAATGTGTACCATTACTGTCAAAGGGTATTATTTATTATATATAATCTAATATTTAGGAAGAAAAATGATGACTATGTTAAGCACAATCACCTTACTACTTACAGAAAGCGATTAAAGTTTAGTTTATTCTTAAAACAAGGAAGCAAGGTATGTATTATATACCAATGCTATATTTATCCACCTAATGCTTTAGTTTGATTTTAGGTACAAATCTATCCTCAACATTGGTTTATTTATGAATGGATTGATAATACTTAACCTTTTCCAGGGTCCTTCAATGGTTCTTTATGGTGTCACTGGATAATTAAGGGTTCGTAAAGCCCTTTCTGATAGTGAAACAATCTGTTGCAGGGTTCGACACAGAACCTTAGAGTTCACCCAGAGGGACAGCTATGGAACTATTAAGGTTTTTTAATTTTCTATGAGTGTAGCCGTAGACAAATTATGTTTTATATTTGTCAGATTATTTACGAAGTATCTAAGTATTTGCAAATGAAGTATAACCAAATCTGTTTATTCAGTCTTTCAAGTAATTAGACATATGATGGATTATAGTTTTTTTAAAAATCATAAATCGGAAAAAAACAAAGTAAATAAAAACCACAAAGAGATTTGGCACATTTATTATAAATAAAAAACTAAACTATCACATTTACACAAGTATTCGAGTCCTCTAGACCCTCTAATGTGAAATGAGGAAGAAATAAAGGGCGTATTAGTTTTGCATAGTTGTTAAGTAGTAATAAACCTGGTCCTAATAAGCTTTATGCAAACAAATTTTGCATGCTTTACATAAATTTCAATATCGTGATGAGAAATTCACTCTTGCATAGATATAATCACAGAAAATTTGGGCTCTATATTCACGGCCATGGCACACACACAAAAACAAGGTTGTATATATATTTTCATATGTTTGTGAACTTTTGCGTAGGTGTTATCATGGTTCAAAAGTTTAAAAAGGGGTGGGTGTCAGTGAATACATTACTAAGAGGTTTCCAAGCAAATCAGGAGCTGTTTTCACAGAATTTGGGTGTCTTTCTAGTCACAAAGTTGAATATCTTGTGTATAACATTTATCAGAACATTTGAAAAGCCCATGATTTGCAAAACAAATTGTTAAAAAAAGAGACAGGGCAAGCTTTGCCCATGGTGTTGTTAACTTTTTAGAAATCATTTTTTCACAGCCTTTGCTTGGCAGTTGGCACCTTCATACCCATTTTAAAAACCATTTTTTAATTTATTTGTTGGTTTCTAGATTTAGAGATCAACAGTGTGGTGTTTTTGGGAAAGTAACAGTAATCAATCAACTACCGTAATGAAAACCAGCTAGTGCTTTTCATGTTTGCATGTCATACATTAGGGCATCCCTAATGATCCTAGATTCGTCCCTGGTTGTGCAGCACAGTGATGTTTTTGTAATGACAGGATTTATAATTCACTTACAGATTTCTTGGTGATTTTATTGGCAATAATAACCATCTGGCTGAAAGAAATTGCAGCAAATATATCTTCTGTCTTCTGTATATTTTAGTGATAGCATAACCAATGAGGAGACAATATTCATTCTAAATTGCACAGTTTAGACTCACAATTAAAACAATTTATGAGCTAAAACATATACCCCAAATTCTCAACTGTGTTTATAAGAGAATTGAATCCCCACACCTGAGAGGATCTAAATAATCTCCTTTACACTAACTCTAATTATTCTGAGATCATCAATTCAGTTCAGACTAAAGGTCATGAGATGTCACACAACTGACTGTAAAGTTTATGCTTCACTTATGTGTGTGCAAATATCCAGTAGGACAGATGGGTATGCATATCTCAGCTGCTGTGGATTTAAATGCTGGTTAAAATAAAACCTAGTGTGCAACATCATAAAAACCTTCTATATGAATTGCAATTGAGTAGCCACAACTAAGCTGTTTGTTCTTATTTTTTACAGTTATGATAATTAATTGTGTTGTATTTAGTTAGCATTTGGATTAAATAGCCTATATATATATTGAAAGGCAGGATTTATATAAAAATCAACAAAACCAGTTTTAAGGCTGCATTTTAATAGAAAAATCTTATCCCTGCGTCTGCCCTAGGTGGGATCTTGGGGTAATACATATCCATTTTTGGACCTTTTTTGGATCCATTTTTCGAATACTTTTGAAAAGCACATTGCATAGGTGGATTCTGAATGTCACAAACCCTTTTGCACCACTCCACATATTAGCGGAGCACATAAATTTATGACCATAAATATAGGAACAGAGCTCCTAACTGGCTTGTGCCCAACCAAAAAAAAACACACCAGCATTAAGCAGAAAATTACACTTGCACTGGCATGAAAATAGGGCCCTTTATGTGCAGTAATTATCTGTACAATATGTTTATGGCATATGCATTTTGTGTATGTACAAAATATTTATGGCATGTCTCTGACTTTATGCAGGACTCCAACTGTTCTGATGTCAACACTCCACTATTAGAGAGAGTTTACCTCTCGCCTATGTATGGTCTGGAATTTACCATTGGCTTCATTGGAAACCTAGT